ATGGTTCAGAACAGATTAACCATAATTACATTGAACCTTATGGGAAAATTTGATTCGGGTCACGACCAATTTGGGTCGTGACCAGAGTCATGGAACGAATTAAGTTCGTGAACCGAGGTACCACTGTATTTAAACATAACATTCATTTTCATAAATTACAAAGCCTGAAAACAGTTGAAAATAAGTAAATAACTAGTTAATGGAAAACACTATATTTCTGTTTAGTGTCTGTTTGTAGTCAATTGCACAGCCATAATCTTAAGTTTTTTTACACACATGCAAATGGTGCTTAGAACGCATTGCAGGTATATCATAACTTTAGGAAATGGAGTACAGAGCAATAATTCCTTGCTTGTTTTATTTGTTTTGCATTATTTGTGAAAAGACAAAATTGATTCAGAATAGCAATTCTTATGTAAGAACCGTGGTGCTCAATTCCCAATGAAAGCAACTCTCATTGAAACCAATGCAGGTTCAAAGAAAAGTTTGTTTATTGGAAAGAAATGCACAGCTCTAGAAGCAAAGCTGGGACTGAGTCCTGCACATACCAAAACTTAGTTTTACCTCACCCCCATTTCACCTCCCCCTTCTGTCTTCGAATCTCTCTTGCGCATGCCAGAGATGTCCTGGGTTTTCACACTGGTACGACCTTATGCATTCCTGAGAACCAGATAATGGCTTCTCTGTGCCTACAATAAACATTCCCATCTTTCCCCCCCCTTCCTCCCTCTATTTGTAATGGCAGAAATGAAGCAAGCAAGCTAGCAATATAAGTGATTGATTGCAAGGATTCTCACATCTGACACAATCATCTCTAGATTTACGTCAGTTGTATCTTTAATGTAAAAATAATCAGATAAATTCCATCAGAATGGACTAGCTATTTTAACCAGACTGCTATGGTTAAAGCTTCTGAGAAAATCTTGGTAGAATACTTTCAGATAAATAGCTCTATCTACCAATTTTTTATTTTTTTTTTACCTTGTTCTTGTCCTGTGTATCTACTTCTCCTGGTGCCATATACTTTAACAACAAAGCTAAGCACTTTGGACTCTTATGCTGGGTAGTTAAGTGTAAAGGAATGATTTCTTCCAAATCCTTCTTCATCCAGTTTGCTCTATGAGCGAGTAAAAGTTTCATAAAGCGATAATTGCCCTAGATAATTTAATAAAAGAGGGGAGGGGAGGGAGATAGAAGTTAAATTCAACTAGATGACTGCTTCATAACTGATAGTTACTATTAGTTTTGAAAGTTAATCACTAGGAAGAATGACAATATATAAAAAAGACACAGAATTTATTTCTTTATTTCGAAGATTTAGAAGGCTGCCCAATTCAACAATGTGATTCTGGGCAGCATTCAACTTAAAAAACAAACAACCACTCAAAAAAGAAAAAAAGAAAAAAACACTCATCATATAATAATTAACAAATACAAAATATAAAATGGCGACCAATCATATAACAAAACAACCAAAAGGAGACTCTTCTTCAACTGCCCCTTAATGCCTGGGGAAATAGCCAGGTCTTAACAGCTTTACCAAAGGCAAGAAGAATTGGAGCCTGCCATATATCATGGGGGAAATCATTCCAGAGAATAGGGGCAACTTCAAAAAAGACACACTTCCTAGATCCTATAAGATGACAAGTTTTAAAAGAAGGAACCTGGAGCATGCCCTCTCTGTGGGAGCATGTGGAGTAGACAGTTGTTCTGGGGCGATGGCAGTACCTTAAGTAGTCCAGTCCTATACCATGTCTAATTTGCCTTCACACTAAAAATATTGCTGAATACAAACTACTATTAGCTTGAAAGAATGAGGGCTTTTACTTCATCAATGTTCATAAAAAAAAAAAAAAAACTTCCTCCTAACAGTTACTCATTAGTTTCTGTTAGAAAAAGGGAAATAGTTAACAGGAGATTGAATCAAATCAAATGTGTGATGCTATTGCTTTAAAAACTGTTTTCTTTTTAGGAAAAGTACATACCACTTCTGATTCTCAATATTTGATTACTAAAATACATAATATTGTCAGAAGAAGCTCAGCTGTAATTATGACTCTGATTTTTTTTTTCTGTGTTGACATATATAGGTCCTACATATACATGCATGACCCTGAAAAGTGCTAAGCTAGGACTTTCAGCAAAAGCCCACCCTTTCAGCCCACTAGCATATGTCCACAGAGACCACAACAGTAAGAACAAGTTACTTACCTGTTACCGTAGCTTTCTGAGTGGTCATGAACATTTATGGTTTCTTTGCCTATGCAGAGCAGACTTTGTACCTATAACTGGGATTCTTCTGTATAAACCTGTATATAGCTTGCTTCAGGGATTTTCAAGCATATGAGTTTTTTGACTGCACTTACTCCTGTGCACCTATCCCCTCCTTCCAGCAACTTTCAAAACCAGGAATACCCATTATTATAGGATGATGCATGCCTAAAGCATGAAGAGAATATTCTAATATGGGAAATTTCACCCAGTCTGGACACAGAAAGGATTGACAGATCGATAGCTCTTTCTTGATTCTGTGGGTGGTGGTGTATGGCTGTTTTTAGTTGATGGAGTGATTGGTTTGGTTAATTCCGATAATTAACGAGACTCTGGAATGCTGACTAATTATGCGACCCCTGAGCGAATTGTTATTAGCTAACTTTAATATGGATATATTTTCATTGTTTTTACTGTTTTGGATTTTAATTGTGAGCTGCCCAGAGTTGCCCTCTGGGGAAGATGGGCGGCATATAAATGTAATCAATCAATCAATCAATCAATCAATCAATCTCTGAACTGGTTTGAGGGAAAAAAGTTGACAGAATGGTTGGTAGATTAAGATGAAAATCTGACACAAACATTGGAAGAAAAGTGACATGTGGTGCATCACCTTTTACAGAGAAAACAGATAGGATGCATCAATTCAGAAAATATAAAGGTCACTAGTTCAGTATGTCAACATAATAGTCAAGAGAAATATTGCTTATAAGATAAATACACATCAGGAGTGGCAGAAGTTCAAAGAATAGTCTTATCAAGGAAGTCTATACAAAAGGCAAAGCCCAAATTAGGATGAAGTGCATATAGCAAAGACCACTGAGGAAACTTTATGTTTAGAAGGAAGACATTTGAGTAATCCTCCACAGGTGGGAAATGGCTGGAAATGGTTGTCAGATAAGTCTTTATTGATGCAAACAGCAAGTTTTATGACATTAATGAGAGAAGAAATTTAAAAATCAGTGCAGTGGAAAAGAGTCCAAGAGAAATTCTTCCAAACTGAGGAAGCTCAAAATAAGAGTCCATTTTCTTGCATAATATAGATGGGTAACTGGCTTGCAGTCAAGTATTACATTAGGATTTCCACTTTGGAAAATGAAACTGAATGAAGAAAGAATCAAGCAGAGATGGTGTTAATAAGTCCAATAAGTGTTAATAAGTGTAAAGCAGATTCCCGTGCTAAGGCCACTGAGTAGACAGGAGAACCATGATGGACACCAAGGCCTATAGACTATTTGCAATCACTCTAAAATTCATTTAATAGAATAGCTGGATATGCACAAAGACAAAGTAGGAAGGGGTTTTGAATGGAGCACTCAGCAGCATTCTGAGCTGCTTTTCAACTGTCTCCCATAGGGGTTCACTGGGGAATTTTTTTCTGGAATTTTTTTCTATACAGTCTCAGCTGCATCTGGCCCATTTTCCAAACCCAATCTTTCTTCTGCTGAGTTTCCTATACCAAATTTAATCCTGTCAGACATTTATTCTGCTGATGGATAGGCAGAAAAAGTCCTGAGCCTTTTATGTAATTTTTTTCTCAACATTCTGTTGGGCTGGAAAGAATAAAAATGTAGTTTTCCACATTCCCAGATTTAATTTCTAGGTTTTATTCCCTGCCAAAATGACAGAATAAAGGAGAGGAGAAAGAGGAGGAAAAGGAAAAAAGAAACTATATAGTGGTGCTTAAAAGCTTGTGAACCCTTTAGAATTTTCAATATTTCTATATAAAGATGACCTAAAACGTGATCTGTTCTCCACACAAATCCTAAAACTAGATAAAGAGAATCCAATTAAACAAATGAGTCCAGAACACTATACTTCCTCATTTATTTATTGAGGAAAATGATCCAAAACTACATATTTGCGTGTGGTAAAAGTATGTGAACCTCTAGGATTATCAGTTCATTTGAGGGGGAAATCAGGTGTGAGTGGGGGAGGTCCTGCCTTATTTAAAGAACAGAATTATGGGTATTCACTATCAAAGTCTGATCTTTATAACACAGGTATATGCAAGTGTGTCATGGCTCGAACAAAGGAGATTTCTGAGGACTTCCGAAAAAATAGCTGTTAATGCTCACCAGGCTGGAAACTATTTCCAAAGAGTTTGGACTCCATCAGTCCACTGTCAGACAAACTGTGTAAAAATGGAAGCAATTCAGTACCATTCTTACCCTCCACAGAAGTGATCGACTAACCAAGATCATAACAAGAGCAAAGCATGTGATACTCTCAGAGGTCTCAAAGAACCTCAGGGTAATATCTAAGGAACTAAAGGCCTTTCTTACATTGGTGAATGTCAGTGTTCATGAGACCACCTTCAGGAGAACACTGGACAACAATGGTGTGAGTGGTAGAGTTGCAAGGAGAAAGCCACTATTCTCCAAAAAGAACATGGTTGCCCGTCTACAGTTTGTGAAAGATCACATGGATAAGCCAAAAATCTATTGGAAGAATGTTCTGTGGACACAGAACACAGTAGAACTTTTTGCCTTGAATGAAAAGTGTTATATTTGGTGAAAAGCAAACACTGCATTCCAGTATAAGAACTTTAACCCATCTGTGAAACATGGTGGTGGCAGTATCATAGTTTGGGCCTGCCTTGCTGCCTCTGGACCAGGTTGGCTTGCCATCACTGATGGAGCTATGAATTCTGAATTGTACCAGCAAATTCTACAGGAAAACATCAGGGTATCTGTCTGTGAACTGAAGCTCAAGAGAAAGTGGGTCACGCAGCAAGACAACGACTAAAAACACGCAAGTCGTATGACAAAGAATGGTTAAAGCAGAAAAAAGTTAATTGGATATTGTTTAATTAAACAGAACATGTTTTAGATCATATTTATGCAGAAATATTGAACATTCAAAAGGGTTCACAAATTTTAAGCACCAC